GCTGGAGGAATCAGTCTCCCTGACTTCGGACTATACTACAAAGCTACAGTAATCAAGACAGTATGGTACTGGCATTAAAACAGAAATACAGATCAATGGAACAGGATAGAAAGCCCAGAGATAAACCCACACACATATGGTCACCTTATCTTTGATAAAGGAGGCAAGAATATACAATGGAGAAAAGACAGCCTCTTCAATAAGTGATGCTGGGAAAACTGGACAGCTACATGAAAAGGAATGAAATTAGAACACTTCCTAACACCATACACAAAAATAAACTCAAAATGGATTAAAGACCTAAATGTAAAGCCAGAGACTATAAAACTCTTAGAGGAAAACATAGGAAGAACACTCTTTGACATAAATCACAGCAATATCCTTTTTGACCCATATCATAGAGAAATGGAAATAAAAACAAAAATAAACAAATGGGACCTAATGAAACTTCAAAGCATTTGCACAGCAAAGGAAACCATAAACAAGACCAAAAGACAACCCTCAGAATGGGAGAAAATATTTGCAAATGAAGCAACTGACAAAGGATTAATCTCCAAAATTTACAGGCAGCACATGCAGCTCAATAGCAAAAAAACAAACAACCCAATCCCAAAATGGGCAGAAGACCTAAACAGACATTTCTCCAAAGAAGATATACACATTGCCAACAAACACATGAAAGGTTGCTCAACATCACTAATCATGAGAGAAATGCAAATCAAAACTACAATGAGGTATCATCTCACACCAGTCAGAATGGCCATCATCAAAATATCTACAAACAATAAATGCTGGAGAGGGTGTGGTGAAAAGGGAACCCTGTTGCACTGTTGGTGGGAATATAAATTGATACAGCCACTATGGAGAACAGCATGGAGGTTCCTTAGAAAACTAAAAATAGAACTACCATATGACCCAGCAATCTCACTACTGAGCATACACCCCGAGAAAACCATAATTCAAAAAGAGTCATGTACCACAATGCTCATTGCAGCTGTATTTACAATAGCCAGGACATGGAAGCAACCTAAGTGTCCACTGACGGATGAATGGATATAGAAGGTGTGGCACGTATATACAATGGAATATTACTCAGCCATAAAAAGAAACGAAATTGAATTATTTGTAATGAAGTAGGTGGACATAGAGTCTGTCATACCGAGTGAAGTAAGTCAGAAAGAGAAAAACGAATACCGTAGGCTAACACATATATATGGAATCTAAAAATAAAAAAGGTTCTGAAGAACCTAGGGCCAGGACAGGAATAAAGACGCAGATGTAGAGAATGGACTTGAGGACACGGGGAGGAGGAAGGGTAAGCTGGTATGAAGTGAGAGAGTAGCATTGACATATATACAGTACCAAATGTAAAATAGCTAGTGGGAAGCAGCTGCGTCGCACTGCACGGGGAGATCAGCTTGTTGCTTTGTGACCAACTAGAGGGGTGGGATAGGGAATGTGGAAGGGAGATGCAAGAGGGAGGGGATATTGGGATATATGTATACATATAGCTGATTCACTTTGTTATACAGCACAAACTAACACAACATTGTAAAGCAATTATACTCCTAGAAAGATGTTCAAAAAAAAAAGATTGAGGCTAAAATGAAATATTTACAGACAAACACCACCTGAGGTAGTTTACCAACAAGAGACTATCACTAAAGGAACTTTAAAGGATGTAGTTTAGGAAGAAAGAAAAACGCTCCCCAAAGGATGGTCTGCAATGCAAAAAGGAATGATGAGCAAATAAAATTGTAAACATTTATGTAAATCGAAACAAAAATGGTCATGTATTTTAAGAGTAATTTCAAATTTGTGGATTTAAAACAGGACAGAACGAAAGTGCTGGGCAAGAATAATATGCAAGTCAAGACTGGGATCTAACTTGATGTTCCAATGTCTTTGTATTCTTTGGGAGTGGGATTAACATACTGTTTCACTTTAGTATATGTCAAGTTAAAATGCATGACAAAATTTCAAGGTAACCACCTAAAAATCAGAAATAGAGTGCTGAAATTCTAATTTACCTGGGGGTGGGGGGATGGAACAAAAATGAAGGAAAAATATCAATTAAAATATGGAATAAATATTTAAAAAAGCAAGATGATAGAAATCATCAAAATAAATATTAATGGACTAACCTTGCCCATTAAAAGATAGCAATCATCAGAGTGCATTACAAAATGAAAAACCCAAATTTGGAAATGTTTGTAAGACACACTCTATAGCATACAGGCACAGAATGGTTAGAAATGAGGGAAGAAGACATGCTAGGAAATACTAAAATTAAGTTGGAATAACTATGTTAATATAAAATAGGTTTTAAGTAGAAAGTATATTAAGGATAGACACGGTTACCAGGCACTTCTATGCTCCTAATAAAACAGCTTTGAATATATAAAACCAAAAGTGAGAGATCTATAAGTAGAAATAGAAAAACTCTGCCATGATAATTGGAATATTTCGACAATTACTGATAGGTCAGACAGACAAGAAATTAGTCAATATATAGAATATTTGAACAAAAAAATTAACCTCAAGCAATCATATAGAGAATTCTGCATGCAACAATTAAAGAATAAACAGTCTTCTTACGTACACATGGACCATTTACAAAAATGATTAAAGTGCTATGCCATAATGCAAGTCTCAACAAACCTCAAAGAAATGGTGTCATACAGACCACATTTTCTGACCCCAGTGCAATTAAGTTAGAAGTAAAACATAAAAAGATATACAGGAAATCCTCTTAAATGTGGTACATAAAAACATTTCTAAATAACTTGTGGGTCAATGAAAAATATAACACTAGAAATTCAAAAATACTTAGAATTGAATCACAATAAAAATGCTTCATATCATAACTGGTGGGATACTGATAAAACAGTACTTAGGTAGAGTTTAACCTTAAATGCATATATTAGAGATGAAGAAAGACTGGAATAAATGAACTAAGTGTTGAATTTTACAAGTTAGATAAAACCAATAGAAAGTAGAAGGAAGGAGAAAATAAAAATTAGGTCATAAAACAATAAAATAGAAAATAAATATACAATGGAGAGAATTAACAGAACCCAAAGTGGGTTTTTGAACAAACCTCTGGTAAGTTGATCAAGAGAAAAAAGACAAGGCACAAATAAATATTAGGAATAAAGGGTACATAATTACAGAGACAGCAGAAAATAAAAAGGTAAGTGGACACTAAGAAGAAGCTTACTAGAATAATTTTAAAAACTTAAGATTTTTTCAGAAAAATGTAATTTACCAGAACTCACTCAAGATATAGAAAGGCTGAATAGCCTTATGAATGTTAAAGAAATTGAAACAGTGGTAAAAAAAAAAAAAATCTTCCTTGAAAGAAACCAAACACAAAACATCAGCCCCTGATAGTTTCATAGGCAAGTTCTACTAAACTTACAGGCTACAAATCATTCCAGTATTATACAATATTCAGAGAACTCATGAAGAGAGGTTCTCCAAGTCATTTTATGAGGCCAATGTAACTTTGAAACTAACATCAGACAGAGAGACACAGGAAGGAAAATTAACTACAGGCCAGTCTCACTCCTAATTGCAACCACAAAAATCTTAAACAAAATAATAGCACATAGAATCAAGCAGTACATACCAAAAGATAATACACAATGACTAAGTTGGGTTTATCTGAAAAATGCCAGGAGGGGGGTGGTTATCATTAGGATGTCTTTAAAAGTCATTCACCACATTAATAGGTAAAAAGAAAATAAATCATCTCAGCAGATGCAGAAGAAGCATTTGATAAAATTCAAAACCCAATCATAATTAAAATGTCCAGCAACTAAATATAAGAGAACTTCTTCAGCCCTAATAAAAGGTATCTACTAAAAATCTATAGTAAATATTCTTCTTCATGGGGAAACATTGGAAAGCTACCTTTTAAAAACAAGAATAGGACAAGGATGTTCACTATACCACTTCTATTAAAGACAGCAAGTTTTTGCCAGTGCGGTAATATAAGAAAAAGAGATTAAAGAAATAATGGTGTTGTGACTTTACTGAATTTATAGCAAGTTATTAAAAATAATAAACAAAAAATTCATACAGGAATTTAAAACCAAACATTCTCCTGTGTGAGTGCTATCCACTGATGAAACCTACAGATTCCTCTGAAGGCAGCAGTAATGCCAGACACAGCAGTCGTCTCTAAAGAGGACAAGAAGGCACTAAAAGGCTTATGGTGTTACCTCTTGCTCTCCAGGGTTAAGGAAAGAAGTGTTAAGTACAAAAATAACATGATCTCAAAGAAAGGAAGTCTAATTTTTGGACAGGAGGATCATTTTTGGATCAGGCTCTAAATACTAATGCATATAACTCAGTCCTTTCAAAGAGGAGCCTAAACCTACACGTCTAAATCCCATCCACCTGAGGGTTAACAATAGTTCCACTTTCTCAAAAAAATCATTCTTTGTCTACTTTGGTCCTTTCTCAGAATGACTGCACTTATTGTAGCAGGTATTAAGAAGTTAATCACAGATTTGATATCTCTTATTTTACCATTTAAATTTTATATTGTTATTTATCAAATTCTAATTTCCTAATTTATAAATAGTATATCTCATTCCTGAATGAATGAGAGAGCAATTCTTCAACTGTCATTTAACTTTGCAAATATCTATCTATCTATCTTGTGTCCCAGTACAGATGTCTTCCACATATCCTGAGGCCTGATATGATAATACTTTATCTCCCATGGCCTCTAATAAGTCAGGATCTAAAGAGTGACTCAGAGATGCTCCTGCAACAAAACTATAATATACCCTCCCTTGAGTATCTACAGATTGGAGCATGTGGAGATGAATAAAAGTGAATGGAGGCCAACAGTGGTTAAAACCAAAGACAGATAACTTAAATAAATCATTTATATAAGACATAAATGAAACTGATCTTTTATATGGATCATAAAACACTAGGCTACAGGAAAAAAATTAAGGAAGGAAAGAATTATATGTGGAACTTACCTTGCCTATGAATCATGCCCCCATGCATGATTCTTGCAACAATACAGTGATTTAGCTCATTCATTTTTAAAGTGATTCCCTGTAAAAAGTTAAGGAAAAACAGAATTACCATAAGAGGGCACTTCTTTTTATATTTGTGATTTTGCTGTAGATAACCTTAATTAGAAAAGTTAGGAAAACATTAAAGAAAATACGGAAAATGGAGGAGAAAACTCTATTATGCCACGACAGAAATATTAACTTTGATATTTTGATTAGTGTAATAATAGTACACATACATTTTGTATAATGTTTTTTAATCCTATAATTATTTTCCATGTTGCTAATAATTTAAAACTTTATCGATGTATAATTGACATATGCTTATGTAAAGTGTACAATTTGACAAGTTTGATATATGTATACATGTGTGAAACCACCACCACAATCAGGATAATGAATATATCCATCACTCCCAAAAGTTTTCTCACGCCCACTGGTAATCTACTTACATCCCTCCATGCCCTGCTCCCCAACCTCAACATCCCTAAGCAACCATTGATATGTTTTCACTGGCTATAGATTAGTTTTCACTTTCTATAAATGAACTCATACAGTATGAACTCTTTTATGTTGCTTTTTTTACACTCACAACGTGAAATTCAACTACATCACTGCATGTATCAATAGTTCATTCTTTGTTCTTGCTGAATATTCCACTGCATGGATATACCATTTTGTTTATCCATTCATCCACTGAATTGCTTCTAGCTTTTGTCTCTTATAAATAAAGCTGTATTAATGGATTAGTCTCCACTTGGCCATGATGTATTTTTCCTTTTCTAAGATATGGGTTTGTTTAGAATTTTTGCATCTATACTCACAAGGGTTACTGGTCTGCAGTTTTCTTTTCTTGCAAAATGTCTGTTTTGGGTATCAGGGTAATAATGCTAGCTGCCTCTTCCTCCTTCTCCTTCTCATCAAAAATACTAAGTTGGGAAGAATTCCTTCCTTTTCAATGTTTTGGGAAGAGTTTGCATACAAATTAGTACTGTTTATTACATGTTAGGTAGAATTTACCAGTAAAGCCATCTTGGCCTGGAGTTTTCTTTGAGGGATTTTTTTTTAAACCTAAATTCAATTTTTAAATAGTATAGGGCAATTCAGTTTATTCCTTTTTAAGTGAGCTTTGGTAGTTTCTGTCTCCCAGTGAATTTGTCTATTTCATTTAAGTTGTTGAATTTATTGACATAAAGTTGTTTACCATATTTCCTTATTATTCTTTTTATATCTGTAGAATCTGTAGTAATATCACTTCTCTTATGAATGATACAGGTAATTAGTGTCTTTTTTTTCCTTGACTGATCTGATCTTGTCAAAGGAAAAGTTTTATTGATTTTTCTATTGTTTTTATTTTCTATTTCATTGATTTCCACTTTGATCTTTATTATTTCTTTTCTTTTACTCACTTTGGGTTTAATTTGCTCTTTTTGTTCTAGTTTCTTAAGGTAGAAGCTGAGGTCATTGTTTTATTTCTTCTTTTTAACATTGGTGTTTAGTGCTACACATTTCTCCCTAAGTACTGCTTTAGCAGTATCCCACAAGTTCTGGTATGTTGTGGTTTCATTTTCATTCACTTCAAAATATTTAAAAATTTTCCTTTTGATTTCTTCTTTCATCCATGGGTTATTTAGAATTGGATAATTTAGTTTTCAAGTGCTTGGGGATTTTCCCAGACATCTTTCTGTTATTCATTTCTAATTTAATTCCATTGTGGTCTGAGAATATACTTTGATATTAATAGAGTCACTCCAGCTTCCTTTTGATTAATGTCATCATCATAGTATACCTTTTTCCATCCTTTTCCTTTGAAAAGATTTGTCTTCATGTATAAAGCATTTCTTGCAGGCAGTATATAATTCAGTTTTGCTTCCTCCCCACACACCAACCTGACAACCTTTGCTTTTTAATTTGGGGAATTTAGACTATTTACATTTAATGTGATTACTGATACAGTCAGGTATAAATATATCTTCTTGCTATTTGATTTCTACTTGTCCCATGTTCCCCTTTTCCTGCCTTCTTTTGGATTCATTTTCATACTATTTTTCTCTCCTGTTTTCTTATTAGCTATAATTGTTTTGTTGTTTTAGTGGTTGCTTTAGGGTTTATAGCATACATCTTTAACTTATCAGTCTACCTTCAAGTGATATTATACCATGTCATGTACAGTATAAGAACCTTATAACATTATACTTCCACTTCCTTCCTCCTGACCTTTGTGCTGTCATACATTTTACTTTTACATGTCAAAAAACCCCAAACAGGGCTTCCCTGGTGGCGCATTGGTTGAGAGTCCGCCTGCCGATGCAGGGGCCACGGGTTCGTGCCCCGGTCCGGGAAGATCCCACATGCCGTGGAGCGGCTGGGCCCGTGAGCATCCGGAGCCTGTGCTCTGCAGCGGGAGAGGCCACAACAGTGAGAGGCCCACGTACCACAAAACAAACAAACAAAAAACCCAAACACATTGCTATTATTTTTGTTTAGACTTCCATTTATCTTTGAGAGAGATTTAAATGATAAGGATGTCCTTTAACATTTCATATACTGTAAGTCTACTGAATTATTTCAGTTTTGATATGTCTGAAAATGTTTTTATTTTACCTTTATTTTTGGATAGATACCTTTGCTGGGTTTAGAATTCTAACCTGAGAGGTTTTTTTTTTTCCCTTTCAGTACTTTAAGTCATTGTTCTTCTTCTTCTTTTTTTTTTTTTTTTTTTCTGCATTATGTGGGCCTCTTACTGTTATGGCCTCTCCCGTTGCGGAGCACAGGCTCCAGATGCGCAGGCTCAGTGGCCATGGCTCACGGGCCCAGCTGCTCCGTGGCATGTGGGATCTTCCGGGACCGGGGCACGAACCCACGTCCCCTGCATCAGCAGGCGGACTCTTAACCACTGCGCCACCAGGGAAGCCCCCATTGTTCTTCTTAATTGTACTGTTTCTCATAAGAAATCTGATATCATTCTTATCTTTGTTCCCCTGTATGCAACATTTCTTTTTTATCTCTGTTTTTAAGACCTATTTATCATAGGTTCTAAGCCGTTTGATTATGAGGTACCTTGGTGTTGTTTTCCTCATGTTTCTTGTGCTTGGGGTTCATTGTGATTCTTGCATCTGTGGATTTATAGTTTTCATCAAGTTTGGAATGTTTTCAGTCATTATTTCTTCAAATATATTTCCTGTTTCTTCTTCACTGTCTTCTCCTTCATAGACTCCAAGTAACCAAATATTAGGCTGCTTGAAGTTGTCCCATAGCTCAGTAATATTCTTTTAATTTTTTAAAATTCTTTTTCTTTCTGTGTTTTGTTTTGGATAGTTTCTATTGCTGTGTCCTTTGAGTTCACTAATCTATTCTTCTGAAATGTTTAATCTGCCATTTATCCCATAGTGCAATTTTTCTGCTAATTCTAATATCTTTGTCAGTTGCATGTCAGTTTTGACCGATTATTCTCCACATTATAGGTCACATTTTCCTGCCTCTTTACATGCTTAGCAATGTTTGATTAGATTGCAGACATTGTGAATTTTATCTTATTGCATGCTGGATTTTTTTTTTTTTTTTTTTTTTTGCGGTTCGTGGGCCTCTCACTGCTGTGGCCTCTCCCGTTGCGGAGCACAGGCTCTGGACATGCAGGCTCAGTGGCCATGGCTCACGGGCCCAGCCGCTCCGCGGCATGTGGGATCTTCCTGGACCAGGGCACGAACCCGTGGCCCCTGCATCGGCAGGCGGACTCTCAACCACTGCGCCACTGGCGAATCCCTAGATTTTTTTCTTGTAAATATTCTTAAGCTTTGTCCTGGGATGTAGTTCAGTTACTTGGAAATAGTTTGATCCTTTGGGTCTTGCTTTCATGATTTGTTAAGGCAGGTCTGGGGCAATTCTCTATCTAGGGCTACTTATTCCTCATTACTGAGGCAAGACCTTCCTAAGCACTCTACTCAATGGCCCTTGAATTGGTTTTTCTAGTCTGGGCGGTGGGAACAGGCAGTGAGTGTTGGGCACTGTTCCTTCTCATCCTTTTGGATGGTCTTTCCTTGGCTCCGGGTAGGTTCCTTTCATAAATGTGCTGATCATTATTCAGATGAATACCTGAGGGGGACCCTCTATAGATCTCTAGGGTTCTCTCTTTGTGCAGCTCTCTCCTCTTCAGTACTCTGTCCTATCAACTTTAGTTCTTTGGTCTTCCCAGGCCCTCAGCTCTGTCTCTTCAGGGAGTCTGCCTGCTCTGCCTCAGTTCCCCCTCACTGTGTTGTGACTTGGAAACTCTCGCATGTCAGTAAGGTGGGGCAATCACAGTGCTCACCTTATTTGCTTACTGTTTCTTAGGGATCACTGTCCTTTGCTGCCTGATGTTCAATGTCTTGAAAACTGTTACTTCATTTTGTGTGTTTAAAATTTGTTTTGGTTGTTTCAGGTGAGAGGGTAAATCTGTTCCTGTTACTCCACCTTGGTTGGAAGTGGAAGCTCTATATACTTAATGCCAGAATACTATTCTATGGAATAGATTACTTTTACTTTCCAATTATTCACCATTATATGAGAAGCTTTCATAAACATATTTTTGTACTAGACTTGGTTGATTCTAAGAGTCACATGGGGACCTTTTAAATAATATTAACTTTATTTATTTTATATTATATTTATTTATTTTTGGCTACATTGGATCTTTGTTGCTGCACGTGGGCTTTCTCTAGTTGCTGCAAGCAGGGGCTACTCTTCGTTGTGGTGCACGTGCTTCTCATTGAGGTGGCTTCTCTTGTTGTGGAGCACGGGCTCTAGGCACACGGGCTTCAGCAGTTGTGGCATGTGGGCTCAGTGGTTGTGGCTCGCAGGCTCTAGAGCACAGGCTCAGTAGTTGCAGCACATGGGCTTAGTTGCTCTGTGGCATGTGGGCTCTTCCCAGACCAGGGCTTGAACCCATGTCCCCTGCAGTGGCAGGCAGATTCTTCCCACTGTGCCACAAGGGAAGTCCAATAGTGAGTTTTAAACTCACTCTTTGGATTTAGATTCAGGAAGTGTGGAATAGAGCCCAGATCTGTATTTTTAACAAGCTCCCTTGCTGAAAACTGGTCTTAAATTTGAGATGATTAGGGGTAGGGGAACTCTGTCTTATCTTCTTCATTGGAAAATAACATTCTGTTAGAAAGTTCCATGAAAATACTTGAGACGTTATAATCTAGACCCTATCTGAATTTGTACAGTTCTATAAAATATAACTTTGCATGGTTCCTATTTTGTGGTTCTTAGATGTGGTAGGCAAGCAATTTAAAAAACTGGTTTATCAAATGTTTCTAGTTCCACATTCAACTGTATTGTTCAAGTATCATTTCCAACTTGTACATTCAGTCAGCATCTATGGTTACCAAGAGAAGGTGTTCCTGGAAAAATGTTGTAAATTAATGTGTAAGTCAAATCTAATTTCAGAAGGGAAATGATAGTATGATGGGGGTTCCATCCTTGAAATTAATAAATTAATGTATTCATTCAACCAATATTACTGTGAACCTGTTATATGGCAGACACTCTGCTAGGCACAGTAGTGAATGAGATAGACAGGGTCTCTCATGGCTAGGGAAAGTTCACCTCAAACCGACTGGAGTTAATATTTATTATTTTGTCTACTTCAAACATTTCTCTGCAGAGAGGAATTGATTCATGGTTTCTCTGTTCATAAGTTCCCAAATTCCAGGGAAAGGATTTGGCCCAGTTACTGCTGAACCTACCCCAGCTTGGGGTAAACTCCTGGCTTTTCCTTGTTTACATAAGCCTCTCCCCTGTTGTCTAAGCCATTTTAAGTTTGGTCTTTAACACCTGCAACTATGGGAGTACCAATCAAGAGAAATAATTATAAGTGAGATGTTAAAAATGGGAAAACAAGGGTGTAATGGGAGTATAACACCCTTGGGAGATGGACCCAGCATACATAGTTGGATACATTGTAGAAGGTCCAAAAAGCAAAAGAGATCATACAGGTATATCCTGCATGGTAATATAATGTTTTTAACAGGACAAATAAGCAAGCAAATGAAGCTGTATTAAATGTAATAGAAAACTATATTATTGAAAATATATTTCACATAAAAATAATTTCTGTTTTTATGGCAACCAATTAAAAGAAGAAATACACACCTTCACTAGGATCACAGAAGATGGAGGACAGGAGGGCTTCTTTAAGGAGACTTTTAGGGAAGAGTCAAGGCCATTTTGTGCTTTCTGAAAAATGTAACTCAGGGGTGCAGTTTTACGCTTTTACTCAGTCTATGTTTCTACGTAGTTAACCATACAGAAGATCAAGCAACTGTCATTGGGTTGCTTTAGAATATGACGATCACAAGACATTTCTGGGCCTCCTTCTTGTGGTCACTTCCACTTTCCTGTCTGCTCTGATTGGCTGAACATCACCCCTCCTCCTGCTTCTCTGACGCAGCCTTCTCTCCGCTATAGCTCTGTCATAACTGCACCCGTTAAACAAACTGTGCTAAAGTGCATATTTACTTGTTTAATGTAGGTAGCCCTGGGACTTCCCTGGTGGTCCAATGGTTAAGACTCCACACCTCCAGTGCAGGGGGCACAGGTTCGATCGCTGGTCGGGGAACTAAGATCCCGCATGCCCCACAGCATGGCCCCCACTCCAAAAAAAAAAAAAGTAGGTAGCCCTGTGGAAACTGAGTTCCAGGAAGGGGCCATGTCTTATCTGCCACTACATCATTGGCGTACAGTGATCTGCACATAGTATAGGCACTTAAAAAAATTTGCTAAATGAGTGAATGAATATATAAAATGAATGAGGGGAATATTAGACTTTCGGAGCTGGGTGGGATTTTGGGGATCGTGTAGTCAAGCACACTTTTGGTAATACTTGCTAAGCAAAGTATGAGCAAAACGAGGCCCACTGACATTGAAGTGATTTGCCCGAGGTACCCAAAAGTTGCTACTGCCCCGCACTCTTTTAAGTCAAAGAGTTGCTTGGAGAGCACCAGATTGGTGAGGTGATTTGCATGTCCCCTGTCTGCTGTAAGTCCTGAGATAATATAGTATAACTGGCAAAGAACAGTAAATGAGAATTACAACCCGAATGTCTAGAGTTGAGGGCTTTCTGGAAATTGCAATCATAGGATCACTGCTGTGTAACTCTTCCTATAACTTGGAAAGCAACTGGGCAACTTTCTTAAGTAATTTGTTTTCCTATATCCCAATATCCCTTTTCTATGCTCTGAGGAAAACATATGAATGCATACGTTTGAATGTTTTCCTTTTCCCTAAAGAAATGATTTCTCCTAAAACTTGGGACTTTCCCAATATCCCCTGTCTCAGTAGGCAGCATCATTGTCCATCTGGCTGTGAAAAGCCTAAAGCTTAGGGTCATCCTCAATACTTGCTTCTCCCTCAGTCCCCAATGTCAATCCATTATCAAGGTCTTTTGTTAAATCTATTCACTTCTTTCCATTTGACATCCATCCCTCTAGTTGAGTTCCATCATCTCTCCCCGTATTACTGTAATAACAGTCTCTTAACTGGTCTCCCTATATCCACTCTTGTCCCCCTCTAATCCATTCTCCAGAGTAATTATTTCTAAAATGAAAATCTGATCTTATCTCCCTGCTTAAAACTCTTCAATAGCCTCCCACTGTTTTTAAGATAAAAAACAGAATCAACACTTGTGAGGTCCTGTTCCTGCCATACACCTTGTTTTCTACAGTCCAGCTGTGGTGCCTTCTTTCCATTTTAAAAACTATGCTAAGAGCCTTTTCACTAGCAGGTTTCTGCATATGCTACTTGGTTTGCCTGGATGGTCTCTACTCTCCCTGCCCCCTCTGTTCAGTTAACATCAAGGAGCCTCTCCTTGATCTTCCCAACCTATGAAGATTCTATGAGGATGAGGCAGGGTTCAGCATCATTCTATTCCAATGCTACACCTAAGTACTGAGAAAACAAATTCACATCAAATAGGTAGACATGAATGGAAGGAATTTTATTTTAGCAATGGCACTCAATTCTTTGAATGTCTTCCGAATTAGTCTTCCTCTAATTTTGTTGAAGGCAAAAGATCTGGAAACCACTAGACTTGTAAAAGGAATTTTAGACGTTCACTTTTTCAACACCAATTCCAGTATTTCAAACTGTACCTTTCTTTGCTGCCCCAGAGGTTTTTACACTCTAGACTAATATACCAGGTCTGTCCTTTTTTGTTGTTGTTGAAGAGCAACTGTGAAAGGAGAGGTGGGAAGGAAAGCCAACATACCTTAGGCATGGTGTCAGGCATAACAATTTTAGGTGGGGGTGGAGGGGTATGGTGGTGGCTTATTTAGGATCTGGAAACTGGTTTCTTTAAAACTATCCATGCCCTCCCTTCCTCCCCACCTCCTAGTAGTATAGGTGGAAGGTAGCTGCTATAACTCATGCTGGGATTTTATGAGAACACAGAAAACTTTCTTTTCCTACTTACCATTGGTTCATCTGTGTTCTTTTGGAACTGGACCAGGCGAACTCTGGTCACGTTCTCCATATCCATGTCTCCATTTGCGCTTTCTGGAGAATCACCATTTAAATAGGGAGAAGTGGGAGGAGGTGTAACCCTCAATGCTTCATCACTGTAAACTTCATGTGCCACTACATCGTGAGTCTGAAGTAAGGCCTGATATTTTACGAAGGAAATAAAATATTAATAATAGAACTATTCCAGCAGAAGTCTATTATATAAACATATATAAAATTATTCTTTGCCTCTCAAAGGTATCTCTCATCTAAAGAGAACTCAAAGCACATTACACCTAGATATAGCCATGCCATAATTTCTTTGTGATAAATAATCATGATAGATGGATTTTTAAAAATGAAGGAACAAATGAAAGAATGAGTGAGCTAATCAATGAATGGATGTGTTTGTTGACTATCTGGGTAAGAGGTGTTGTCTGATGCTATGAAAAAGTGCCCAACTAACTTGTTCAATTAAAGTCTGACATAATGCAATTTCAAATAATTTAGCAGAAAGAATCATTTGTACATAGAGCTGGCAAATTTGTGCTGGGGCTTAAAATGGAAACAAATTTAAAAAGAAACATGGCAATAATTGGTGCATTGAGCAAACGTCTTTCATCAATGGTATTAACAATAACTCTGCTATATAACGCAAAGGGTAATTTATAACATACATCTTAGTAAAAGAAATAAAAACACACACAAATGTACCTGAAGAAATGTAATTTCCCAAAATATCACATGATATGGAGCTCAAAATCTAAACCTATTTAATGTTTTTGTTCATTTCTACTTTTTGGAGCACTTGCATAAATAAAAAGTAAGTTGACAGTTATTATTATGACTTCTTTTTGCAAAGCCCATTAACAAAGAAAAAGTGATTTCTCTGTATTGATATCTCCATATGTCATCTTGGTGAAACTGGGTAATAAATATCCCTTGTTTCCCTAAAAGAGGCTATTCTTCCACTTACTGTACATTTTCTGCCATCATAAGAAAGTTTTTAATAAGCATGAATATTTGAACATTTCTACTTCAAAGAGAATTTTACAGCTAAGTATCAGTATGTTTGGTGCTTTATGCATTATATTTTCTTATATTTTCTTATAGTTATAGTACTAACTATAAATTCAGTTTTATTTTAATCTGTGATCTGTCTGGTAATGAAATATCTAGAGATAATGAAACATAATTAAAATCACCTTAAAAGTATAGCTTGTAGCATCTCAAATTAAGTTATTTAATTAAAAGATTTACCAAAGTCATGACTTGGCTATTTTAGGTACTTTAAAGGTACGCATACGACGCAAAAATAAGGTAACAATGTGGTAAAATCATAAAGAAGATGATGTTGATCAGACATCAATAGAGCATATGCTTGGAGCAATATACCCAATTTTTTAAAGCATCTTTATTGGAGTATAATTGCTTTACAATGTTTTGAATTTGTAATGGAAATGCCGGATGTTTCCAAGATCTCAGAGGGCTGGTCTAAACTGGGATCTAGATGAGGGGCACTGAAGGGCACTAAGCAGCGCAGCTTGAAAGCAGGGCTCCACAATGGTCCTGGGGACCTTGGCTTCCTGACCAGTGCCCTGACTACACCCTGCACTAGCACCCCAGGCCAAAGTGGTGGTGGTTATGGTATGTGGGGAAATCCCTCTTTTCCCTGTTTAACTGTAGCCACTTAAGAGACTAAGATTTAGGGCAGAAAGTAAAAATCAGTAATAGACAAACTGAAAAGCTTCATCTGTTAAAATTAGGTTCATTGTATTAATTATAGATGTGTCTTCTATAAACAGTGAATTTTAAAACAATTTTTAAAAAAACATGCTTTGTATGACTGGAGGATATATACCCAGGTAAACAGAGAACCAAGCTTCATTAGGATAATGCCAGTTACATGGGTTGGAGAAAGTGTTTGTACTGCTTTTTGCAAATGATTTCTATCCATCCTTTTAAATTATACAAGCAAACACTTGTACTTAATGTATTATTTATAAGGAAGGATAAGCCCACAATCACAAAAATAATACTAAAATTGAACTTTAAGAGAAAAATCCTTAAATTATATCACCAAATGAGGTCATACTTGATATTAACCACTATTTGCCACCGGAAAAGACTGCTACCACAAAATGAAACTTAATCCAATGCATATGCAAACAGAAAAAAAGGGGTCACTTATAGATTGTTAAAAAAAAAGCCATTAAAAGAGTATGCCAAATAAAAAATAAGGAAATCAGAGTTTGAATATTTTTCTTCAAGTATGTCATGAGGTATGATTTAGCAATTGTTACTAAGCTGAAATAGCTATTATTTTTAATTACATAAGAAGAATCATGTAATAGGAAATACTTCCATATGTATGTAAAAAGGACGTGGACAAGACAACTAAGAACTTCAGACCAAAGTGGGAAAAATCCATTTAAAATTTATAGGAAAGGGACTTCCCTGGTGGTGTAGTGGTTGAGAATCCGCCTGCCAAGGTCGGGGACAAGGGTTCGATTCCTGGTCCGGGAGGATCTCACATGCCGCGGAGCAACTAAGCCCGTGCGCCACAACTACTGAGCCTGAGCTCTAGAGCCTGCACCCCACAACTACTGAGCCTGCGTGCTACAGCTACTGAAGCCCATGTGCCTAGAGCCCGTGCTTTGCAACAAGAGAAGCCACCGCAATGAGAAGCCCTTGCACCGCAACGAAGAGTAGCCTCCGCTTGCCGCAACTAGAGAAAGCCCGTGTGCAGCAACGAAGACACAATGCAGCCAAAAAAACAAAAACCAAAAAATAAAATTTATAGGAAAAAATACGAATTTTAGGTTTGAAAGTGGTTCCTCTGGCTTCTGAATTACAATTACAAGTCATAAAATTAATCACTTAATAATGAAGCTTTCATATCAACCTAAGGCGATTTTTAACCATCTTGTTTTTTGGGAAAGTAGGATACAAATTTGCTTTTAAAAAACAGGATCTAGAACAGAAAATTTTAAAGGAAAAAGTTAAAGCACTGACATTCTATTCTGTTTATATTGTCTTTACCCTTAATGTTTTATATTTTACAACTGCAATAAGCAAAGGATCTGTTCTTTTTTAAAAAATAAGTCTTTCAAATGGAGTAACTGAAGGATGGTGTAATAATATTTTTTATCATGACCTCTACTCTAGAGTACACATTAAAAAAATTAAATCTACACTGTTTTACTCTTAATTACTGTAAATATTTATAAGTATCTGTATTTTCATGTATAAGGTAATCCAATATTAAATCCTCATTTTAATGATCAGAAAGCAAAGAAAAAGTCAGATAATTGAAGAAATAAGTATAAAATTATAACTATGTTAAGAATAACTCCCAGACCTTGGTATAATAAAACTTATAAGCATTAAAATATTTTCCTTTAGCTGTTAATATTTCTTTAAAAATACCAGATTTTGAAACCATGATCTTTCTTTAAATTTTTTTTACTGGAGTATAATTGCTTTCCAATGTTGTATTAGTTTCTGCTGTACAGTGAAGTGAATCAGCTATATGTATACATATATCCCCTCCCTCTTGGACCTCCCTCCCCACCAATCCCACCCATCTAGGTCGTCACAGAGCATGGAGCTGAACTTCCTGGGCTTTATAGCATGTTCCCACTAGCTATCTATTTTACGCATGGTAGTGTATATATGTCAATCCCAATCTCCCAATTCATCTCACCCTCTCCTTCCCCCACTGTGTCCACATGATCTTAAAATGCTTATAAGATAGAAACCTCCAGCATTTAAAAGTTTAACACAGTATATATAGCTTGGAATTATATTTGCCACATGGGACATTATCCAAACATATGCTTATTTGGGAATGACCAATGAGTTCAAATTAAGTTTGTAGGAAAATCGATACTCATTACAAGTCAACCCACATTTAAGAGCACAGGCTTTGGAGCCAGTAAGATCTGGGTTTTGAACCTCAATGAGGCCACTTACTAGGTGGGTGACCTAAAGCAAGCCTCTTTGCCTTTCTAAGGTGTGGTTTCCTCTCTGAACTGTAAAACGGAGTTAGTCACATCACTTCACATCCCAGCCATCAGCAAGTCCTGCCATGTCTAACCATCTCTAAAGTAGAATCCCAATTTGCTCATTTTCCACCAGCCCCGTCCTTCTTCAAGCCTCTACCACCTCACAACAGCCTCCTAATTGGTCTCCCTTTTTAAACTCTTAACCCCACTATAGTCCATTCTCTACACAACAACCCCAGCAATCTCTAAAGCACAGTTCTAACAATATTTTCCTGCTTGCAATCACTCAGTGTCATCCTACTGCAATCAGGAGAAAAACCAGACTCCTTACCATGGTCTGGAAGGCCCTATGTGGTCTGGCCTCTGCCACCCTCTCCAGCTCTTCTTGTACCACCCTCTCCCTTGTTTACTATATCCCAGCCACAATGGCCTTACTTCTGTACTTTGACCCTACAAAACTCTTTCCTGCCTCTGGGCCTTTGCATTTGCTCTTCCCCATGCTTGGACATTCAGAAAGTTTGTTCTTTCATATAACAAGTCTCAGCCCACATGTTGGCTCCTCAGAGGGGCTTTCCCCTGACTATCTGAAGTAGCTTCCACTTTACTATCATCTCTGCCCCATTATCCTTTTTTTTCATAGTTATTATCACTATATGAAGTTATATTGTTTGTTTTACTTGCTCACTGTCTGCCTCTAGCTCACCTATCCACGTCTCACCTAGAATGGAAGTTCGTTTGTCCTATTCACCACTATCCTTAGTGCCCAGCACAGTGCCTGGCATATAGTAGGCATTTACGTATTTGATGAGTAAATGAAAATGTCTTTTAAGTACCTAGCTGGGTGTTCAGAAATTACAAGAATTATTTCTGAAAATGTTTACTAATAGCAGTGCACATATTAATTTCTCTCTGATGTCAGAAAAGCAAAATAAACCAAGGCTTCGAAGGTAGGTAAGTTGTGAGAGATGGGGCTGTCTGAGCTTTAATGGTTTTGAAAAAAACCTTAACCTTAAAAAAAGGATTTTATTTGGGTATATGTTAATTTATTTAGCTTACTTCAAATCTGAAAGATCTATTGGTATCAAATGGTCCTACATCATTCTCAGAATTGAGCTGAGGTTACTTATCAGTTTATAGACAGACATGTCTGTCCAAAACATACAGGCTTCTATCTACGGAAAACACACTGCACAGAACAGTCAGCTGAGGTGGGGCTAACCTACCTGCAAACGGGCAAGTTCCTAATCTACTCAATGTTTTACTGAGAACTTACTATGTGCCCTACACATGACAGATACTATGGAGTAACTAATAATATTCATTAGCTAACATTTATTAGGCATCAAGCATATATCAGGCACTGTGCTAAGCACAGTAGATGTATCATCTACTTAATTCTTATTCCAACTCCATGAGGCTGGCAAACAGCATCTTTACAACTATGACACAAAGTAAACAGCAACAAAAAGTTTTAGTGCATCTGGTATTATCTGGTATTGTAATCTTAACCGTCTGATATTATACGGCTAAAAGCACATTTAATGAAGATAGCTGTATTTCATAAGGATTAGTAAAAACTTCTTTTGAAAGTGAGGTTTTATTTCTATGGAAGTTTAATTGTTACTTACCATGAAATGAGGTTGTGTTAAAATACGCTTTAGTTCCTTTGCATCGTTATTCTCAGGGTAACATGAAATTTCTTCCAATACCTAAAAAATAAGCAAGATATTTAATAGTATAATGAGGATGCTAGACTTAGAAAATATAGAATTCTTTTAAATTAAAAATTATGAATGGATTTGTATGGCAGGCAAAATAATTATTTTGGAAAAAAATTCATCATTTTATTCAAAGGTTATTAATATATAAAACAGCTACATTTGTGGTAATAAAAAATAAAACAAATTGCTGTAATAGTCTCTGCCTTCATTACCCAACTATACCTCAAAAGATTATTGAAAAATACAAAACGAAATGACAAGTCTGTAATACATATTTATTACAGGTATAAGTAACTTAATTAAACTTAATGGGAAAATAATCTCTGCAAATCTTTTTCCAAACTCACCATCAAGATGAATCTGTAATAAAAGTTGGTAACAGCTTTCTTTTATATTAACAAAACTGTCAATTCCTTTCAGAAAGATTAAAATGACAAAGGCTCAAATAAAAACAATTTAAAGAAGAGAAAACACTTGAGTACTCTTCCTTGTAGCCTGAGAGAATCAATGTGATTCTCCACACTCATCTCCTCACATTCGCCACATCTCGGCAATGGTTCCTAGAATTAATTGCCAGGGAACCCAAGAGAATAATTTAAAAATAAGACACACAATCAAAAACTTTTCTCTTTTCACTCACATTTTCTTCACGAATTAGTTGTTAACATTTTCTCTATATAGGTTTAAACGGTTGTTTTCAAATGAAATTGTTCTTCAAAAGTTATCCCTTACCACTAGGATGGAGTTTACCCATTTAAAATTTGATTATGTGACATGAGCCCAGGGGAAGGCCTCTGTTCCTTTTCAGAGTAAACATACTACTACAGTTCCAAGTGTACATAGTTGGACTCAGAGTGGTTATACACATTGCTCTCAATCCTAAAAGTTGAGCCAATCGAGGATTGCTTCAGCAGGATTGGATGTCAGGGGCACGCAAGTCATGTACCGAGTAGGAATCTCTTGACTCGCCTTTGAGAATCTTAATTCTGGCCAGGAAGGAATGTTTTGAGGTCACTTAGCCTAAGGCTTAGATCCCAGCCAGTGCTACTCAACCACCTCCTCAGAGAAGAACAAACAAACAAACAAAAACTATAAGGTTTCCTTCTTATCTAAATGTACTCTTGTAAAACAACTATACCCCAATTAGAAAAATGTACTCTTAACAAGTGCTGGTTATGCTGTTAATTCATATTGTTTAATGATGATAAGCCAATTCTCCTTTGGTGTATTTTCTGCTTCGAGTTTCTAAACCAGTGAAACAAAAGATGAAACAATATACTCTCTCTGGTCCCCTGCTACTCTCACAGCCTATGATTTTAAACACTGAGGTGTGGTCTCTAATGCAAACAGAACCTCTCCTGACTGCTGCCCTGACCAGGTGGGCAGGCCTAGCGGCTTCCACAACCTTGGACTTGGTTCTCAGTGAATATATATTTTCCAGTACAGGTCTTGTGTTTAAAATCTGATAGGGAAGGAATTATGTCTTTCATATTCTTTCACTTAGTAATTTCACTTTATAAAATATTTTTCTGGGCTTCGCTGGTGGCTCAGTGGTTAAGAATCCATCTGCCAATGCAGGGAACACAGGTTCGAGCCCTGGGCCGGGAAGACGCCATATGCCGCGAAGCAACTAAGCCCGTGCGCTACAACTACTGAGCCTGCACTCTAGAGCCTGCGAGCCACAACTACTGAAGCCCGCGAGCCACAACTACTGAAGCTCATCCGCCTACAGCCCATGCTCTGCAACAAGAGAAGCCACTGCAATGAGAAGCCCGCGCACTGCAACGAAGAGTAGCCCCCGCTCACTGCAACTAGAGAAAGCCCGCACAGCAACGAAGACCCAACACACCCAAAAATAAATAAATGAATGAATAAATAAATAAATAAAAATAAAATATTTTTTCAAAGGAAAATATTTATTTGTATAAAGACTTTTATGATATCAAAAAGTGATTAAAAAAACCCCACTAGGTATCTAACAGTGGAGGCATTTATAATTCATTATAATTTAGTAACAGCAGAGAAAAACTATGCCATCATGAGAACTTATTTACGAAGACCTAGCAGAAACATGGAAAAATGCTTATTATATTAGGTTAGGTTAAAAGAAAGATATATTTTGATTGTAACACATAAAAATTTATATGTAAATGGATAGTGATTAGAAAAGGATATGCAAAAATGAAAATTACTGTGTTAGGGTGATGGGATTATAGATGACTTTTTACTTTCCAAACTTTCTGCAGTGTGATGTTTCTATAATAAAAAAGTTAAAATTTTGTGAAAGATGTACACTAACCAGTAATTTATAAAAATGACTTCTCTCTGAACTTAGTTGTTATAAGCATTCAATTAACTTTCAAAAATTACCACCTTAAAAAAGCAACTCAAACTTTCATAGCATGTCGATTTCCACCAAGAGTGGTAAATAACTTTTTCTTTTTTTTAAAAAAGAGAAGTAAAATTGTTCAAGTTTACATACCAGAACTAGAAATCTAGGCAATGTTGCTGCCGAGATTTTTTTTTCTTTTCTGTATGTAAATGCTCAGTGATAAACTTAGAAATACTAAATTTGAGTATAATGGTCTAACTGTGACTTCAAGGAAGCTGCCTCTTACTGTGCAGCAGAAACGTTTTCATACCAAATATGACACCCAAATACATTGACAAAATATATATCGCTTACCTCTTTGGCTCTCTGTACTGCATCACTCGGAGGATTCCTGATTTGCGGTGAAGATTTTGTGTTAATTTTGTCATATAGCTAAAAGCAAAGGAGAAAATCCAATCAACATTCATAATTCTCTGATAAATTCAGAGCTTCATATTTATTATTTCACTAAACAATATTTTCCCCTTAAAGAGGCAGGCTGATGATTTTAGTGGGATCTTCTTGTTAATGTCTTATTCATTCAAATGAAACTTGTTGGGATGAGTGCTACGCGTATCTTTTTAAAAATCATCAATATTTCAGTAATCACAGCATTTTTTCCCTCTGATAGAAGCAACATTTAATAAGATGAATACAGAGTAAAATGAAAGAATGCTTTCTGGCCAAGACACATCTGAAGGAATTTTCACAGCAATCTAAATCTTGGGAAAGGGCAAACCCAACTCCTTCTAGGAAGGAATGCTCTCACGAAAGGTTTATACTTGTTTTACTAGGGCTGTTCATTAACAGTATCAGTTCTGGCATCCTTCAGCAAGAAATCAAGGACATAAACCTTTTTCCTTTTTAATTTGTAAATTCACAGAGTATGGGAAGAAGCTGAAAAGAGTCTATACTTTAAAAACTCCACAAATCTAAATGATCCAAAATTTAACTTTCTGAAGAAAATTCTTTAGAGAAAAATCTCTGTAGTGCAGAAGTGCAATTAAAGTATTAATTTCTACTTCAGACAAAACATCTCATTCAGCAGTCTGCTTTGAAAAGTGAAAAGTTTAAAATGGTCTTGGCTAGCCAGCCACTTCTATTTCCTAACTTCTCTAAAATAAGTGGGGAGTTTTGGGGGTTGGTTTTGGTTCTGTTCTTTTTTCCTTCCCTACTATGCACAGCAGTGCTAGTGGAGAGGTCACATACCATAATATTCTTCAGATTACAGTTACACTTGTTTATACTAATGCAGGATAAAGCTTTATGACTTGTAAATGTTTGGGCCACACCATACATAAAAATTCCTAGTGATTAATAGGCAGACAGATAAATAAATAAAGCCTAATGATAGCAATGTGAAGATAGAGCAGTGACCATTTTAAAATGGCGGCATTGAGAAAGTACTACTAAATTAGAGGTTAAATAAATAGTATAAGTAGGCTAGTAAAATTTGCTCTATTTAAAATATTATATTAACACTTAGGGGACTAGTGATATGTGGCTTGTTTATAAAAGTTTGCTCGAATCCCTGTAGAATACACATGGGCAGTCTCCATCCTCTGAATGACTTCCATCTCTAAAGATTGTAAATTTTGACATTTGGAACCACCGAATATATTTTTCCATAGAAATAATGGTATATGCAGTGTAGGTTCCCAGGCTAGTCTATAGAGATAAATGAAATACTGTACACATGCAATAAAAAGTAGGAGGGGGAAAAATCCCAACCCCTCAAAAGTAAGGAATCATAAGTTAAAAAAACACAATTAAAATACCTAACACTTAAAAAATAGATATAGCCATCACCTGACATGTCATAATATTAATAATCAAACAAAATAAAAAACCTACATGGATAATTAAAAAGATTTTTAAAACTCTTAAATGCTGTTTGGGAAAAAGAAAGCAAATTTAATTTGAGGCTTTACAAGTTGACGGCACTATCATTTATAATGTCTTTATAATGCCTAATTTCACCACAAAAAGTTTTGCCTTTTTCTTGAACAAGGACTATTACTAATGCTACTTTCAAAATTTTCAACCATGATTAGGATTAGCTTCTATTTAAACATTTAATAAATGCACATTAGTTTTAACTCACAAAGCAACAAAAATTCCAAGCTCCCAGAATTGCTCTCACTCTATTACTGGAGACCTTTTATTTTTGGCTTGGTCTTATGATGCCAAGTACAGTTCCCTAGGTCTTATATCAGTGTGGTTTCTTGAGGACTTGTAGCAGAATCAGCTGGAGTAGTTACTTAAGCGTACAGATTTCTGGGCCCCACTGCAGATCTACTGAATCAGAATTTGAAATGGGGATCCAGATATCTGTGCTTTAATAAACTCCTTAGATATTTGTAAATCTTATGCCCAGTACCAACTTTTGAGAATAGTTGTAGTAGTACAAATACTAACAACAATGATAATTGTTACTTTTATTGAGCACTTAGTGGATGCTAGTTACTAGTCAGAGTTCTTAATATATATTCCCTCATTTAACCTCAGACAACCTTGTAATGCTGATATCCCTACTACTCCCGCTTTACAGATGAGGAAACTAAGGCAGGGAGTAGCAAAGTGAGAACTAACGTTCTAGCTTTACAACAACTTCATAGGTGGCATGCAGATAAGGCCCTGATCCAAGGTAAGTGCTCAGACCAAATTTCCCTCTGCTCCTTTGGTTTTGCCTGATCCAACTAATCACACATTCACCCAAAGTTCAGTGGAACTAGTGGTGGGATGAGGGGGAGGTGAGATGCTTAATATGAAAGGCAGATACAGTAGGAAGGAATTAAATGAAGGGACCTTCTGCTTGAGGTGGGGACACCGGGCTCTGCCCCTCCAACTCCTAGGAAAGTGCAGGACTGGAGCGGTCAAGGCAGGCATTGGATGGAGTGGATGGTGTCCATGTGGTTAAGAATAGATGGTGAATTTCAACTGCCTGCTCATTAACCAAAAGAGTAATTAAGAACTGAGGCAGGAAGGGACAGGGAAGGGGCTTACTTTCACCATCAGTGGGAAGAAGTGACCCCTTGTTGACCCATCTATCCATCTAATATTTACTGAGGTCCTACCATGTACTAGGCAGTGGGTTCTATTCACTGGGGTTATGGAGAGGAAAAAGATGATAGTTGCTATGCTCAAAGAAGTCACAAATTCCAAAGACATGTATAACCAAAGGCCCAGGAACATATGCCAACTTGATCCCCCTGAGGACCTGAGAGTACTTTGGTCCCCAGCAATATCAACTAGGAAATATCTCAGTGAGCAGTCCCAAGTTGGGGACTATCTGGATGTGTATGCATGACATGCCAACCTTCATTCCCCTGCCCCCCATTTCTGTGACTCTATCTTTGCCTTAGGGATTCAAAATATTTTAGGGATACCCATAACAAATACAAACTGTTTGAGAGATATGGCAAAGTATGTAAATAAAAAGTCATCAACAGAGGAAATTTTGAATGCAATGTAACGTTTAATTGTTTTAAAACAGTCGTCAGGAGTATGCAGCTTTTCAACTTCTCATTCTTATGGGTCATCTTCATATTCTATGCTGCCTAGGAGATGCTATTCAGGACTCAAAGTTCAAATTCAGGTGGAGTTTTCCCAAGGTCTGGAGGCAAGTGAGAGGTGGTTGAGTTTTGAGAACAAAGGAAGGCTGCAGTTTCTCCTCCTTTATCACCCTTTACTGCCCGTCCCCCTTCTATCATATACAAAGAATTATTAGAATGATGTGACTTTGGGACTTGGCCTGCTGTCTTGGACTTTCAGCTAAAGCCCAGAGCTAAGGCCAATAGGAAGTAAGTGGTCTGCTAGGAAGCTGCCAGACCATCCTTCCAGGGCTTGCTGAAAGGTAGCTAAAATGGTCCTTCCATGCTCATCCTAGCACCCCATTCTGCCTATAGTGACAGATGCTTGGAATCTGTAGAAGCTAAAGGACTGAGGCAAGGAAGCATTTGATTTTTCCTTCTCCTTCCTGTTGGGGAGGAAAGGAAAGGGAGTTGCTTCTTCCCTCATGCAAAGTGAAGGATGGTAGATGCTCCAAAAGACCCATGTACACAAAGTAGAGGTGCCAGCAAGGAGAGTTCACTATCTCATGCTCTGCAGGGATGCTTGCTGAGTTGCAGCAATTTACAAAGTCCATCTTGGTGCACCCAGAAGAGCGCTATGTGAGAGTCTTCGGAGTGGCTTGACATGTGGCGTTTGGGGTCTCAAGTGAAAAGAGCCTCTTTCCTGGTTGATGGCAGGGTGGGAGGCCAACAGCAGGGCAGCCCACACTTGGAGTGTATTTTATGGCAAGACTGTGTGTTTCCCATGAGTCAAGGAGCTGCCTCAGAATGTAATCTGGCTGGAGCCATCTTGGCGGAACCCTGACCAAGAGGGTTGTCTGCACAGAGCCAGGGGACCCAGGAGTGGCCGTGGGGTCACAGCTGAAGGCAGGAGCTGAGAGTGCTGCTGAGGCCAGCTGCAGAGTACATGATGATGCAGGAGCAACCCAGGACAGAGACAACATCTGGATACCTGCCACACCCCGGGCATTAACAGCCAAGAGGGCACTGGCTGCCTGAGGGACACGAGTACAGAACATGCTGTTTAAGTGGTTCTTTCTCTTTTCCATGATCAGACTCTTGAGTCCTTTGACATTCAGTAACGGCACGTAGCATGAGGCTGAGTACATAGAAGATGTTTAATAAATGTTTCTTAAAAAAAATAAATGAGTATTTAAATGGTGCACAGGAACTGTAAATAGGTATATTTTTTAAAAATCAGAGTAATATAAAAATAAACAGAGTAGGAATACTTATTTTACCTTGTTTCTTTAGGAACCAGGTATCACAGTATCTTCTGTCCTGCTTGCACAGTTAAAAACTTTCCCTCAAAATTAAGAAATACAGTTTGACCACATTTAATTCTTTTTTTTTGCTATGTTTCAAGTCTGACTTCAAAAAATTTTCAAGGTAAAAGAGATCCTAGATATCAACATGATTCAATTCCTCCACTTTAAGAAGGAGACAGCTGATGACCAGTGACATGAAGGGATGCACTCAGGGTCCTGCAGCCAGAGTAGGAGGGACTAGACTGGCTTCCTGATACGTGCTGTCCTTTCTCTCATACCAGAGTACCTTGGCTTGTATTAGAATTCAGTAACATGGTCTCATGCCAGGGATACACCTTCAGCAAATATTCGGGAAAAGAACTGTAGAAAATGCCATTTATAGGCTGTAGGGAAAAAAACTAACTAAATGTGATTTTAAAAAAATAAATAAATTAATTTATTTTTGGGTGCATTGGGCCTCCATTGCTGTGCGTGGGCTTTTCTCTAGTTGTGGCGAGCAGGGGCTACTCCGTTGCGGTGTGCGGGCTTCTCACTGCAGTGGCTTCTCTGGTTG